GAGCAGCTGGCGAGCTTGAACCAACAATCTTGCAGTTCAAACAACTTTGCAGTCTGACATATTAGCCCACAGCGCCATACCAGGACCCCTGTTGTTGTTGTTGTTGTTAAGTGCCATCGAGTCGGTTCCGACCCATAGCGACCCTGTACAGGGTTTCCGAGGGTGTAAATCTTTACGGGAGTAGAAAGCCTCATCTTTCTCCCGCGGAGCAGCTGGTAGTTTCGAACCGCTAACCTTAAGGTTCGCAGCCCGATTCGTAACCACTACGCTAAATCAAACTCATTACAGTGGTGTCAGCTCTGACTCCAAAAGACCCAAAAGGTCATCGTAGAACTGTCCCATAATGTAATCTTCCGAGAAGCTGACTGCCACATTTTCTCTCACGGAGCAGCTGTTGTTGTTGTTAAGTGCCGTCAAGTCAATTCTGACCCATAGCAACCCTGTCTGTATAGGGTTTCCAAGGAACGGCTGGTGAGCTAGAACCTCCAACCTTGAGATCCAAACCGACTTGGCAGTCCAGCACATTAACCCACAGCACTACACCAGGACTCCAAGTAATCATGGTATCACCAGAACTCCTTTTTATAATGTTGTTGTTATTAAGTGCCATCAAGTTTGTTCTGACTCATAGTGTGCCTGTATAGGGTTTGTGAAGCCTCCCTGTAGTGATATTGTTGTTGTTATTAAGTGCCATCAAATAGGTTAAACTCAGAGTGACCTTGCACAGGATTTCAATGGAGCACCTGGAGGTTTTGAACTGCTGACCTTGTGGCTAATCCTACAGAGCCACACCAGAAGTCCTATAGTGATATTAGAAAGACTGTGCCCTCAAATCAGTTCAGACCCATAGAGACCCTATATAGGGTTTCCAAGGAGCAGTTGGTGAGCTTGAACTGCCAACCTTGCAGTTCAAACAGCTTTGCAGTCTGGCACATTAACCCACAGCGCCACACCAGGACTCCATTAGAAAGATAGAAAAGTGAAAATTCCCTGAGGTCCTTAATTAGTTTTGGTCTCTATATAGTGGCATTGTGGGATAAGCCCTGGACTGGTAGCCACAAGGTCTGCAGTTCAAATCTTCCAGAAGCTCTTGGAAACTCTATACAGGGTCGCTGTGAGTCAGAACCAATGAGAGTTCACAACATATCATGGTAATTAATTTCTTGTTGCACTGTCAAATTTAACCAAGCCAAAATTTAAGTACATGTTTTAGGCCTTTTTTTTTTTATCATTTACATTTTAGAATTATCCAACACATTAATGTATCTTTAGCCTTAGATATTGTTACTAAACTATTTTATGTTCTTCAAGGTCGGTTTGAACCAAAAACTCACCAGTCGCTCCTCTGAAACCCTATATTGACTCAATGGCACGTAATAACAACCATGCTATACGGGTGAATACATACCAAGCCAGAAATGATTTGAGATTTACAAAAATTATAATTAATCTAAGATTTTCTCTAAATATTGGTACCGAGACAAACTATTTAGTACAGGCAAATGTTTTTCAGATATTCACAGGATGCATTCAATCCCCAAAATAATCTTATTATATGATAATGAGTTTTTAATCATAAAAGGGGTATTTTAAAGCTACGCTTTTGGAATTCTGCAAAACTTGTCAATAATCTCCATTCATGATGCAAAAAAAGATAGTTGCTTTTTTGCCACTGGATTTATTTCACCACAGACAATGTATTTAAAATATATTGCTGTTGTTAGATACTGGGGAGTCAGTTTTAACTTACAGCGACTTGGTGCACAACAGAAGGAAACATTGCCTGGTCTTGCACCATCCTCACAATTGGTATGTCTGAACCCATTATTGCTACCACTCTGTCAATCCATCTCACCAAGGGTCTTCCTCTCTTTCACTGACCCTGCACTTTACCAAGCATGATGTCCTTCTCCAGGGACACGTCCCTCTTAGATAACATGTCCAAAGAACAAGAAAAGAAAAGTCTCACCATCCTTGCTTCTAAGAAGCATTCTGGCTATACATCTTCCAAGACAGATTTGTTTATTCTTATGACAATCCAATATTCTTATCCAACACTGTAACTCAAATGCATTAAATGTTTTCTATGATATTCCTTAGTTGTTAAGTGCCATCGAGTCGTTTTCAAATTATAGTTACCCTGTATAGGGTTTCCGAAGCTGTGAATATTTGTGGGAACAGAAACCTCATCTTTCTTCCACCGATAGGCTGGTGGTCTAGAATGGGTGACCTTGTGATTCGCAGTCCAGTGCTTATCCTACAGAGTCACTGAGCTCCCCTTCAAAGCATTGCTGTTAGTTGTAACTGCCGTGGAGTCAGTTCCGACTCAAAAGCGACCATGTGCGGAGTTTTCAAAGATGGCTGGTGAGTTTGAACCGCCGACCTTGCGGTTCAAACTGATCTTAGGATCCAATGCTTAAAGTGCCTTTGAGTAGGTGCCAACTCACAGCAACCCTGTACAGTAGCGGAACCACCTACCTAGCGGTTTAAACCGACCTTGCAGTCCAGCACATTAATCTGCTACACCACACAAGGATTTAGGTCTTTAAATCTCAGAGAAGCTATACAGGATGTTGGATGTATGACTATGCAGTTAATGTCTATAAAAACTGGAAAGATAATGATTTCTAATTATAAATTCCCAGCCATTTGCAAACATCAAGTTGAAGTATCAAAAAATATTCCACAGGGGAAAGGCAAAATATCATCTCAAAGATTTGGGGAAGAATGGGAAGAAAGTAACAGTTTATCTGCCCTCTGGTGGTAGTGAAATTAACTGCAGCATTTCCTAAAGTAATGCTTAACAAAATGTCCCCATTATGAAATCAGATTTATTCTTATTGGCCAAAATGTCTGTAATAAAAATCCTGATTGCTACATGCCAAATTTCGAGATTGTTGACATTTTAGAAAGTGTCCTGTATTGAACTTTCACATAGACTGTTTACAAAGAAAACTCCTTTTTCTTCAGTTTCACCTTGCTGTATTTTTTTTAATGTTATGCATTGGTTAGCCATTTAATTCCATTATTTTCCCCCATAAACCTATATGTAGACTTATAGCCAGGAAAGATGGGGCTGTGGTTTGTGATTAAGTCTCCAAAACTTTGCCAAGACATTTTAAACTCTTCTTTTTAAATTCATACCTATATATGGGTTTCTCCAGTAGTTTCCATCAGAAATACTGTATTTATTTAAAATACTAGAACATCTATGCTAACTAATTTAGGCATTTATATTTTTAAGGAACTGGACAGTCTTAGAATGAATTTCATTCTCAATATGGGAATCTAAACTGGAGAATAGATAGATTCCTTTCTTGGTAATACAATAAAATTTTTAAAGTTCAGCAAAATACTAAGCATTTGCTGATTTTATTTTTTTATTTATTTTCTGCTGCAAATGTATTATTTATTTCTGTGCAAATGTAGTTTTCAATTAAACAACTCGGGCGCATTTTGGTACACACACCTCTGTAATGTTGGTGATGAAGCCAGTTGCTTTCTTTAAGCAGTTATCGTGGGAATATGGCCATGCAACTTCTGTTGCACCTTTTTACTAGATGTGTTATATCCTGGACTGGAAAAAAATTTTTTTTTTTAACCGATGAAATGTACCCAAGAAATAAACAGAAGTATAAACTACTGGTAAAAAGAATACCTAGCAAGAACGATTGCAAATAAAACAGGTAAAAGAAACGTGTATTTCATTCTCAGCTTTTAAAGTATTGCCCTCTCTCCCGCCCCCTCCACAAACGCACCTCTAGATCAGGACTATGGGACTGCAAAATCAGCATCTGGGATATCTCCATAAGTATCTCAACCAGGGACATACTGCCTGGTAACATTTCATTCAAAGACTTCCTTCAAGATTTACCCTACCTGGAATCTCCAGGTGCCCTTCCTAGCGTTCCAGCAGCGACTCTCAGGGCTGAAGATCGGGGAACTAGGCACAGCTTCATTTGCCATTTTCCTAAGCAGAAAGTTTTCATTTCCTTTCCTTTATCTCTTTGAGTGTTTTTAGGGGTTTTGTTGTTTGATCAGTTTGGTTTGGTGTTGTTTTGTTTTTCTCTTTCTCTCTCTCACTTCACCATCTCTTGAAGTTCACAAATGTCCTCCAAGGTAGAAATAGGCATAAAATAGGAGTAGGCGCCAGGTTCCAAATGGACAGAGTCCTGAGGTAGCTGGCCCTCCATGCTCTACAGCGCCTCTCCCGGCCCTGACCAGGATACAACACCCAGGGCTCTGCCCTCGTCCTGGGGGCGAGGCTCCACACTGAAGGTGCACCAGGCAAAAGCTACAGCCAGAGTAGGACGCGCTGCCACTAGGGCTTGGAGGTGGGGGTGTGGAGACCAGGGCTCCAAGCAAGGGCAATCTCGGGGCACCTGGAGGAATCCCCGGCTCGGCTCGTTCAGGCCTCAGAGGACAATAGAGCAAGGGGTACTCTCCGGAGACGTGCCCGTCCCCATCTCTCCCACCTCCTCCCCTCTTTGCCTAGCTGCACCTACCCGATCTTTCAGGGCCCGCTCACAACTACGCGGCATCCTGAAGAAGGAAGGAGCGATTTCAGGAAATGTTCTGTTAAGGGGAGACCTACTATGCACGGCTGTCACTACATCACCCATCCACAGCCCCCACAATACATGCATCTGCTTAGTTTATCCAAACAGCAGGGAATGGAGGAGGAGTCAGAATACAGCCCAGAGATGGCAATTACTGGGTGAGGTTTCCACAGAGAAGATTACCTCTTACACCAGAGACCTCACTGTGCTCCTTACTAAGAGGCTGTACAACCCCTAGTCGCTCAGGTGAGGCAAGCCCGAAATCCTCATGAAAAACCCCATCCTTTTTCTTGCCAATCCAATTCTCCCTAACCAGGGATTCCAAGTTTACCCGTAAAGCAACTGCAATAACTTTGCCAAGGGCAGATGGAGTGGGATGGGAAAGAGGATGCCAGAGAGGTCTTCAGTTACACACACATAACAAGCAAAAATGTATCTTACCATTTATCTGGTTTCGGGAGGTCTCCCCTTCGGCGAACTGAAACCCGTCCATTAAAAAGTGGCAAAGTAACACAACTCCTGCAGCTGCCAAATCGGCCTTTGGTAACCTCGCCATGCCGCTGACAACACCTCCCTTCTCTTCAACGCCGGTCCTTCCCGGAAGCCGCCTAGTGCTCCTGGGCTCCTGGTGAGTGTAGAGGGAGTGTGGTCTAACGCTGCCCACCGATAGGCAGGACGGAAAGGTCTTTGTAATTTCTCTGGGATCGCACACCCTGAGGCCGGGATGAGGAAAAAGGGAGTAAGATGTAGAGTGCAGCCCTCTCTGGACCTCTGGGTCTCTCTTCGCAACTTGTCAGCCTCGTAGCCTTCACCTCAGGCACAGGACAAAAATTGAGCGAAGAAAAGGCCACTTGCAACCCAGGCTCCCAAACTCTGGATTCCGCACAGGCAGCGCCACCCCTGTGCACGCAGAAGGTGACTTCCGAACCCCTGCTAAGCGCTCCACTGGGTTCAAAACAAATGTAATTCCACAGCCAGTGCCGGGGCCACCACCAAATCCAAGAAAGCAGACGGCTCAGAAGGAACTTTCCCCAGCCTTGGGATGGCCCAGCAGGACGTTTGGGATTGAGAGAAGGGGGTTACAGTGAGCTGGTGAAACCCCTCCGACAAGTTTTTCTTCTTTTCTTCGCCCGATGCTGGGCGCGCGTCCTTTCTCCCAGCCGGAGTGGATTGGCAGCCCCAAAGAGCAGAGCCCTTGGCAGGCTCAGGCGGCAGCAAGTAGTCTGAGGTCCGAAGTCAGAAAAAAAAAAAAAAATGTGTTTAAACAAAAAGAAGAAAACAAAGAAAAGAGGGGTAAAGTCAGGGTGAAATCTGTCCGGAGAGGGTTCCTCCTTGCTCGGGAGGAGGTAGTCCCAAGCCCCAGCTGAGCCCTAGGAGTTTGGTGGCAGAGGAGGTGCCGCTGCCGCGCTCCCCCGCGCTCCCTACTCCACACTTTGGGGAGTGAAAGCAGCTTGCTATTTGCCAGATCTGCTGTGCACCCTCCTCCCTCCTCCTTCTGCCCTCCCCTTGCTCCGCCAAGCTTCTCCCACCTTCCTCCCCCGAAACCAGCAGCCAGAACCGACCTGTCCAATGGCTGCACTTTCCTCCGGGCTGGTTGTGGAGTCGCCCAGAGATTAAGCCGGGGGAGGAAAGCGAGGGGGCGTGAGAGGGCAACTCTAGCCGGCAGCAGGCGGTCCCGAGAGCCGGGAAAGGAGGCGAGGAAGCGGGGCGAGGAGGGGAACGCTGCGCGGCACCTCCAAGCCGCCCAGGCGCCATCCCTGGACCCTGGCTCGTGACCTTCGCGACCCGCGGTGCCTGCACCCACCTGGCCCCAGGGCTGTCTACACGCCCGACTGCGGGGGGACTGAGACCTGGCCCGCTCGGCGTCTTCCCGGGCGATAAAGGGTTAATTAGTCTTCGCCTTTCCCAGGAAGGTTTGTGTGGCAGTCTTTGGTGTGTGAAGAAAGCAAACCAGAGCCTGGTGGGTTACTGACCCTGCAAAGCCCCTAGCGGACCCCAGCCCCGCTAGGCGAGTGGTGTACGGTAGCGCGCGGCAGCGTGGTCCCAGGGACGCCGCTGCCTGCACTACTGCCGCCGCCGCCGCCGCGGCTTTGTAAAGTGTCAGCAGGAACAAAAGAGAGAGTTTAAAGAAACAGGAGCCCATTGAATTCCTACGGGGGGCTTTAGCCTTCGCTGGATCCCTAGTTTGTTTTTGTTTTTAAGCTCCAGGGTCAGCTTCAGCGTTAATTCTTTCCAGCCTTTTCATTAGTTTGCATCTTATTTGCATACAGTTAACCCAATTTCAAAGGGATGAAAACATAGAAAGGAAGGAAAGCACATTGGTTCAAAGTACAAATCCTAGAGCCAGACTGTCTGGGCTGGAATTCCATCTCCCTCACTTAATAGCTATATAAGTTGGAAGAATTTATTCAATCTCTTAGTGACTCAAATCCATCGATCAAATGGGAATAATTATAGTAATGCACTTAAGATTTTGCAGTGAATTCCATGAATTAATATTAGCTACGTAAAGCATTTAGAACCATGACTAGCACGACATAAAATACTTTATTAGTATTCCATGAGAAATTGAGAAAGTGATAAACCAAAAAGCAAGTTTGTCTCAATGTTCTAAATTCAAAAGGTCTTGTTGACTTATTCTAGTCCATTTCGTCTGTTTTGAAGAGTTTATGAATGTCATCAAAAAGCACCCCAATGTATCCCATGCACACACACAAAACCCACCTGGAAATGGATATAGATAATCAAACTACTCTGCAAATTTTATGCCAAATAAATAAATGGTTCTCAAGGTTCGAAACTACCAGCTGCTCCGCGGGAGAAAGATGAGGCTTTCTACTCCCGTAAAGATTTACACCCTCGGAAACCCTGTACAGGGTCGCTATGGGTCGGACCCGACTCGACGGCATTTAACAACAACAACAATGCTTATTTACCTGGTGATGAAATGACAACTTGGTACTGTAACCTGTTTTTCTTCATTCAATACTAAACTTTCTCTTTATTTCATAAAAAATACATCAATTCATAAACATGCTGTGCATACATACACACTTTATTATGACAAAACCGTAACTCTCTGCTGAGCTTTCTTTCCCTGGCTCATCTCTTCCTCCCAAATAAAAACTGGTTCTTTTATTTCTACTCAACCAGGAATGTACTTTTTTGATTTAATGCTACATCTGATTTTTAGTGCCTGAGACATTTATAAGTTTAACATTAATTTTGGAAACTGTCTTCTAATCAAAACCTGATTGTAGTTTAATTGATGATAGTGTTTTGTCTGCATTCCTAGTAAAGTCACTATTTAATGGTGCCCGTGGAAAGCTTTCTAAAATTTTCAGGGCGACTCTAGTTCCCATTATAAGCAAAAATTACAGGGAAAAATATCAAATAATGCAGAGAGTAAACAAAATGGAGAGAACATACAGAGGCTCTCTATCAAAAAGAATTGGCTGATATTCAAGCATTTCAAGAGGTACCATATAATCATGAAATAATGATACTGAAGGAAGACCTCCAAGCTGCACTGAAGGCATTGACAAAAATCAAGCATCCAGAAACACACTGAAATGTTTCAACAAACTGATGTAATGTTAGAGGTGCTTACTCCTCTATGCCAAGAAATTTGGAAAATCCAGTCTGGCCAACTGATTGGATAAGATCCATATCTGGGCCCATTCCAAAAAAAGGTGACTGAACAGAATACTGAAAACTATAGAATAATATCATTAATATCACATGCAAGCAAAATTTTGCTGAAGATAATTCAAAAAACAGTTGTAGAGTACATCAACAGGGAGTTGACAAAATTCAATCTGGATTCAGAAAAGGTCTTGGAGGGATACCGTTGCTGAGGGCAGATGGATCGTGGCTAAAAGAAGACAATACCAGAAAGATGTTTACTTGTGCTTTATTGTCTATGCAAAGACATTTGACTACATGTATCATAACATGGAGCTCTGGTAGTGTAGTGGTTGAGTTGGGCTGCTAACCTCAAGGTTAGCAGTTCGAAACTACCAGCTGTTCCGTGGGAGAAAGATGAGGCTTTCTTCTCCCGTAAAGATTTACAGCCTTGGAAACCATGTACTAGGTCGTTATGAGTTGGAACGGACTCCATGGTACTTAACAACAACAACAACAACAGCAAATGAGTCAGAACTGACTCCAAGGTACATAACCACCACCACCATCATAAAAAAGGAGTCCTGATGTGACACTGCAGGATAAGCACTAGACTAAAAGATAGGTTTGAATGGTAAGGTCAGCTATTCAAATTCACCAGCCACTCCTCTGAAACCCTATACAGGGTCGCTATGAGTCAAAATTGACTAGATGGCACTTAACAACACCAACAACAATCTTTTTGGAATCAAATGCCCCATCTTCCCTCACAAAGAGGCTTTTGGGCTCAAAGCATTGACCTTTGAACTCCTGGTGTGGCTCTGTAGGATCAGCACTGGACTGGGAACCACAAGGCCAAACTGAATGGTACTTATCAGCAACATTCATAACAGACTATAGATCACGCTATGAAGAATGGATAGTCTAGAGTACTTAATTATGATCATGAGGAACTTATATATAGACTGCCAGGCATTCGATCAAACATATCAAGAGGATACTGAATTGTTTTAAATCAGGAAAGGTGCACACCAGATTTGTATCCTTTCACTATACTTATTCAATCTGTATGCTAAATAAATAATCTGGGAAGATGGATTATATGAAGAAGAATGTGGCCTCAAGATTGGAGGGAGACTCATTAACAACTTGCACTATGCAGATTACACAATCTTGCTTGCTGGATGTGAAGAGGACTTGAAATGCTTACTGATAAAGATTTAAGACTACACCCTTCAGTATGGATAGCACCTCAAGGTAAAGAAAAAGAAGATTCCAACAAGTGGACCAATAATTAGGAACACGATAAATGGAGAAAAGATTGTAGTTGTCAAAGACTTTCTTTTGTTTAGCTCTAATCTATAACAAACACTCATGGAGCAGCAGTCAAGAAATCAAATGCCATGTTACATTTGGGCAAATTTGCAGCAAAAGACATCTTTGAAGTGTTAAAGAGCAAATATGTCACTTGGAAGACAAGTGAGGAATTGATGCATTTGAATTATTGTGTTGGCAAAACATATTGAAAGTACCATGGACTGCCAGAAGAATGAACAAGTCTGGCTGAGAAGATGTACCTTAGAAGTGAAGACAGTGAGATTTTGTCTCTGGTACTTTGACCATGTGGTCAGGAGGGACCAGTCCTTGGAGAAGGATATCATGCTTGGTATAGTGGAAGGTTGTCAAAACAGAAGACCTCCAATGAGATGGATTGGCACAGTGGCAGCAACAATGGGCTGAAATATAACAATTGTGGGGATGGCACAGGATTGGACAGTGTTTTTTTCTGTTGTATATAAGGTTGCTAGGAGTTGGAATGGATGTGAAGGTACCTAAAGCAACAACTGTCATACATAGGGTTTTCAAACGGATGATTTTCCAGGCCTTCTTTCTGATGTCTCTGGATGTACTGGAATCATAAACTTGTCAACC